TATATTCCAGCAATATCCAGGCGGGGGACACCAGAAATGGGTTTCACATATCATATCCATGTCGGGAATCGAACCCGGTTCTTCGGCGTGACGAGCGAACGCTTTAACCACTAGGCTACCCGCCTCTGGATATGGTGGAAAAACTAGAAATGCACCAGAGTAGTTTCTCATACAATCCCGAAATTTAAGAAATACAAGAAAATATCTACAATTCTTTTGCTGGTCCAGATTATTAGGAAAAAAGGGATTGTTGGCTTCTTCCTATTTTCTATTAAAAGTTTTATATCATAAGGCCAAATTCTTTTTAATATTGTCATTTCAGATATTTAATGTTAATTAACTATAAGCGAAATATATTCTCCAAACACCAGGTATCATAACGTTCACAACGGTGACTCATTTCTTGGCGTTTCAGACCGCCTCCGTGGTCTAGTGGTTGAGCATCTGCCCGAGGAGTGGATACCGAGTTCGAACCTCGGCCGCGTCATACCTAAAGACGTTGAAAGATGGTACTTGTAGTTACATGCACCCTGTCTGGCGCTCGGTATTAAGGGGATATAACAAGGACTGGTCGGCTCGGAGTCAGTATACTGTGTCTGAGTGGGGTATTCATGTTGAACTGTGGCATGTTATCTCAGTGGGCAACACTATAAAATAGTCCGGATTGACACACACACACACGCGCGCGCCTTAACTGACTTGCCTACGAAATATAGCACGCCTAGATAAGGAGTAGCCTTGTGGTTAAATGAGTGAGTATAGTTTTACGCCGCTTCTAACAATATTTCAGCAATATCACAGCGGGGGACGCCAGAAATGGGCTTCACACATTGTACGCATGTCGGGAATCGAACCCGGGTCGTCGGCGTGACGAGCGAACGCTTTAACCACTAGGCTACCCGACCGCCCCCATTGTGGTTAAAGCGTTCGTTCGATTCCTCACATGGGTACAATTCATAATTGACGAGCGAATGCTTGAACTACAAGGCTATCCTCACCTACGTGTGCTGCATGAAGTAGGCAAGTCACTTACTCACGAACTCCACCTAATCAACGGCATCCAGAACGTCTACGACAGAAAACCACGGGGAGAACGCAGCACCCGACAGAGACATTACTGCATTGAAACAGACGCATCCGGCATCTGGAAAATCCATCATCTAGCCCTCCTACCAGATTGGTATACCAATCTACCTTTACTACATAAACAATAACGAAAAACATCTTGGCAAGGATCGGATAATGAGCGCTTCTGCTTGGAGAGTGTGTCTTTTTCAAAGCCTGGGGATGAAGATAGCTAGTAAATAAAATACAAACACTGACTGAGGTTAAGCTATTGTTCCCTGCATCTGCTCATTTACAAAAATATGCGGAATGTTTGAGTTTCCGCTGCAAATTCCGCTTGTAGAGGAAGGGTGAGTTGACTACAAAGCGGAAGCCAGAGGTCGGTATGTCAGACGTTATCAAGCATAGATTCCATCTAAAAGCAGGTAAATACCCTATCAGCTAGGCAGAAAGCGTGCAATTCGCTGTCGCAGGCTATTTTACAGACGGACTCCCCATCCTGCATATCTGGAGTTTAGTCTCCAGATGCACAGGGGAACAAGATGAGGAAGTATATATCCCATAAGCCCACTCTTATTTCTTCCTCCTCAGCATTTGTACAATTAGCTTTGTTAACGAACAGATAATAACGTTGTTGAAATGCTGATACGCTGGATGTAGTTGTAGGTCTACCTTAGCTCCTAGGCTCACAATCCATGATGAAAGGTAATTCTATCCTTATAACAGGAAAGTCTACATAAGCGGAGTTCCAAGGACGACTTGCTCTTATAATGTAAAAATAGATATAGAAATTATTATTTAAAATAACATTGTTTTGTCTTAGAGACTTGCGCAAGTCTGATGTAGATCAACCTTACCCTCTCACAGAAACTGTATATATATATATATATATATATGTAAAGCTAACTCCCTCCCTCACTTAATGATAGTTGCATGCTTTCAGATTATTTCTCAGGTCACAGTGAGGAAGGGAAGTACATCGACTAACACTTAGTCATTGAAAAATTTCTTTAAGAAAATAATATTCTTCGAAAGAAGCTCTTCCTCTTTTGCTGTTTTCATATGTGGAATCAAGGAAACTAGACTTACCTAGGCTTTCATATATATATATATATATATATATATATATATATATATATATATATATATATATAAATTTATATTTACTATCGATTGTATTTTAGTTATATCACAGCGTGTCAGCTTGATGTGAGGGAAAGCCGAAGTCATGAAGTTGTAGATCCCCACTTCGATGAAACCCACGAATAATGTTATGGTGCTGACAGACAAATAATCGTAATCTGGCCGAACCTGGCATCCGAACCCACTACCAGCGGATCCTGGTGAAGATAAGAAACGCGACTCTGCAGAAGCAAAATGCGGTATATTAAACCACTAGACCAACCATACCCCTAGGATGGATTCGGAGAAGAATCAACGGTAACTCCGTCATATAATGATGATGATAATAATAATAATAATATTTTTAATTTTTTTTTAATAATACCTGTCCCGTTTTCCCCCAACTTGGTAGGACACATCGCAAGTTGTCGGACTCCTGCAGTAATTGCATCTGTAAACAGTGTCATTATCACCTAATCGCTAATATCATCACCACCAGGACGAACTATGTAATCGGTTCTCGGATCTAGATTGATGAATCGACTAGTGTTGTTCTAGGAATGTCAGACATGCACGTTGAAGCAGTGAAACAGAGTATGCGGGTCTTATCAGCTGTATGCGGAGCTGCATGCATGTTGTGGAAGGTTGTCAGTCGGCGTGTTGGAGTCGAGGACGATGTGGATGCCACCGACAGCTAGGTTGTTGATATATACTGTATGAGTGATGACAGCATGTTGTCATAAACAGCGCATGATATACGTACAGGTACATCGCCCCACCGGGCGGTGGGGTATAGCGATTAAAGCATTCGCCGCCACGTCGTAAATCCATTTTCGAATCACCACGTGTGTATATTTTATGAAGACCATTGTTAGTTTTCCTCGATGTGATATTTCAGAAATGGTTAAAAGTATTCGGCGGAAAACCTCACTCGTCCAGACACATATGTACACATGGTATTTTGGATATTGTATTGTACAAGGATCTATACCGAAACATCGCTTTTTACAGTATTAAAGAAGTTCTTATCCATACAATTGTGTCTACCTTGTCTTGGATATTGTTTTTTTGATAAAACGACATCTTGTAATGCGCTGTATTACGCTGAAATATTCTGATCATGGTAATTATTTCAAGAAACTTGAAAACTCTGCACCATATATTATGGCTGGAATGTTGTTAAATGCGGCGAATAACAATAATGCAATCACCACATCATATATGATGCAATAGCGGTATGCTGATGACGTACATAATCCTCATCACGAACACTGACTGACAAAAGGACCAAGAAAATGCCCCCAAACACATATAATCAGTACCCTTTGTCCCATGGGGCGGTCGGATAGCCTAGTGGTTAAAGCGTTCGCTCGTCACGCCGAAGACCCGGGTTCGATTCTCGACATGGGTACAATGTGTGAAGCCCATTTCTGGTGTCCCCCGCTGTGATATTGCTGGAATATTGCTAAAAGCGGCGTAAAACCATACTCACTCACTCACTCTCTATTCCCGCTTTGTGACGGAAACCTTTGTTTTCATTTTTACTGAATGCCAAATTAAGTGAAGATCAAGCTAAACCAAGTATAGTTCGTTGATTCCACAACAACAGAGGAAACGTAGCAGAGGAGGAAAGGTTCTTTTAAAAAAAGAAAAATTATTTTAAAGAAATGTTGTCATGGACTAAGTGTAGTCTATCTCCTTTCCTCTGAAACCCATTCCACCCAAACCATTCAATATCTAATTCTGAGAATATTTCTTCCATCCACACGAAGGCCCGTTAAATCGGTAAGATGTTGCTTAGGTTTGAACGAACTCATTCACCGGTGCGAAAGTCATTAAATAAATGTCCATCCAACATAGGCCAACGTATCGTTATTTCTATAATGGTATATACTAAATGCAAGTACACAATATTAGAGGAAAATGAGTGTGGAATATGAATGCCATTATTATAATAAACATTCTTATTATCAATGGATCATCATCATCATCATCATCATCATCATCACCATCATCATCATTATCATCATCATTTAAGATAAATAACACTTCCATGTAATAGTTAACTGTATTATATTTTAAACCGTAAAGAGTCATACTGTATTCGCTATCACTCCCATCGGAAGCTGCGCAACTGGCAGGAGTCGTCGACGAACAGCAACAACTGGTCTTATCTGATATGGTGCTTTGTTCTCTTAAGAAAAACCTTCTTATCTCTTGTAAGGCTTCAGCAGTAACTGTCCTGTCGACAATGTAGGTCTGCTCGACGTCAGCGGTGACTGAACATCCACATATATAATATGGTATTGGATTGAGAGAGAGAGAGAGAGAGAGAGAGAGAGAGAGAGAGAGAGAGAGAGAGAGAGAGAGAAAGAGAGAGAGCGAGAGGGAGAGAGAGAGACAGAGAGAGAGACAGAGAGAGAGAGAGAGAGAGAGAGAGAGAGAGAGAGAGATTAACGTTGCGTTCAAGATTATTTCACTGTGGGCATGTCGTTGCTTGTGCTTGTCGGAACATATGTCGGTTTGTAGTGCAAGCTCACTGCAGTGCCATACCGCAGTTTTAACATCGGATTCTCTACGTATACTGAGTCCAAACTGACCCGTCCTTGCGGCCAGGGGACCGAGCCACCAACCTACCGCTCTCCGACAGGCGCTGTATCCACTACACCACGGCGGCACACACACACACACACACACACACAGACACACACACACACACACACACACACCTCTCAACGTATTTCAATAAAAAGTTTTTCTATCTTAATACGACACTAATGTCACATACTAACGATCGACGCATCTCCACGTACCTGTTGGTATATGTCCGCCATACAGTGCCAACAAGGGGTCCGGTGTTGGCGAAGTTGGGACAGGTGTTGTTGTAGGCGTTGTCGTCGGCGTCGTCGTCGGCGTCGTCGTAGGCGTAGTCGTTGATGTCGTCTTAGGTGGAGGTTTCGTGTCCTTCTCTTCCTCAGCTATAACTATGGTATCCTGAGGCCAGGGATCAAGAATCGAAAGGTGCTCGTCGTTTTGGGTGTCGCACACACACGTCTGGTTCTCCGTCACCAACTTGTGCACCAACAACGTCACCGACTCCGACAACTGCAACAACAGGTGACGCTGCTCTGACGTCCTCTGACGCAGTTCGTCCACTTCTAACCTTAGCTGCCTGTTTTCGTGGTTCTGGCGTTTTAGTTCTATCAGTATAAAATCCAAGGCGTCCCTGAAATCGTCGTCCCTTGTCCGACTGCACGTCTCCGACCACTGGAACTCCTGAACCGTCGGCTGGCAGACGACAGCCGTGAAGCAGACGACACATACCGTGACCAGACGACACACCAATACGTCTGATGCCATGGTCGTGATTGCTGTTACAATCCTTCCTGCATAGCGTAGTTTAATCCGAACTAAATTAACTCTCGTGTCTCCATGTTAAACAGTCACATTTACATATCTTCAATATGTCCAGGTTGAATATTTCATTCAAAAATACAAAAAGAATAAAAGTTCATAAACCAAGTGGTCAGTTATCGTAGAAAAATGAATGGAAATTGAGCAGACGACACTTCCTTAAGATGTCGCCCCCCGCTCTCTTCCCCCGAGTGAGCCAGCAGACCACACCAAGCGGAGATTCGTTCCTTGCTCTACAACCCTACCACAGCACGAAGGCGGGGTTTCGTCCATACAGGCAGTACCGCATTAAAACTGTTGCCGAAGCGGCGAGCGAACACAGGCACATTTTCTTCATTTACAGAATTTCGTTGTAAAATAAGTAGGAAGGTTTAAACATACAAAGTTACAAATACTATTTATTCTCGTTCTGTATTTTTATGTTTCTCCATTATAATTTTGTTCGTGTTCCGAAACGGGGTTCTTTGTCATTATATTTTTGTTCTGTTAAAGCTAAAAGACGGGTGGCCTACTGATTAAAGTGTTCGACGAAATCCTGGGTTCGATTCTCAAGATTGGAACCATCTGTGAAGCCCATTTCTGCCCCCTCGCTCCACTCCCAATTCCCGCCGTGATATTGCTTGAATATTGCAAAACCGACGTGAAACCCTACTCACAGAGTCAACCAAAGGGATGACATTCGTTTGGCGGAACGAATTGAAAGGAATTAGAGGAGTTTGATTTTTGTTAAGTTAATGTTGGTTGGGTATCGGGGGGACGGTAAAACAGTGTCAGATATGTCCCGTGGCGCCCCTCGCACCGCATGATCATAACGCGTTATAAACTTCAAAGTAATATTATATTCTTTCAAAGCATATTTTTTTTAGGAAACATGTGTATGTATGGGTTCTGATTTGTGTTAAGAAACATGAAAAATGCATGTAAATACACATAAAAACACGACAGGAGGAACGATGCCACCCTTGATGGCTTGCCGAGGGACTGTGTATTGTTATGGTCTGTGATATGATTTAAGAAATATTTAATACATGAATCAAAATAAAATTTAGGACACTGGCAAAGAGAATGATTCTATCTCTGATGGTCTGTCTGTACTCCGATGTCCCGGCGCCCCACTGAACAGATTCTCATTTAATTGTTCACGGGAATAATTCAAACATATCGGACCCATATCCCCCGCGGGGTACGTGATCGAGTTTCCATGTTCCCCACCCTTAAAAGATAAGTAGGTGCCATCTTGAAAGCAGCGAGGAATCTCGTTATATCTCGCTGAGATCACGACAAGTGTACGGAGCTCACAACATGCATCGACGGTAATAAGGGGGAAATGCTGTAGTACTGAGAAACCGTACAATAGACAGAGCCCAGTCACTTTCATCATAGTAAACGAATTGTGTTTCAATTCGTTTCTGATAACTTCAAACAAAGTTTTCAAAGATTGTTCATGCACGGTATAAACAATTTTAAAACTACTTAACAGTTACATGAATGTATGAAGAATTATAACATGGGTAAGATATTTTCTTTGTCAAGGAGCTCGATAGCCACGTGTAGATCTGTGCACAGGTTTAAACAAACACCATTACTAAACTACTAAACAAACAACTATCTATGTACAGTAAACTATGGTTACTACGAACTCAAAGGGACTACTAATTTTAGTTCGTTATAACCGTAGTTCGTTATAGGCATATATACAGCATAACTACAGCGAATAGTCGGGAACAAAAAGTAGTTCGTTATATCCGTCAGTTCGCTATAAGCGTGTTCGTTTTAACCGTAGTCTACTGTACATTGAAAAAGAGATACACGAATAAACGAATAATAACATAAACAAACAACACATGTTTCATTAAGTGGTGGGAAAAGTGTTTAAGACCAAAATCATTTTTAAAAAAAATAGTTTTTTTACACAAGCGATGAATACATCTCCCAGCAGTTTGTCCGCATTGCTCGAGATAAAATCACATGTTATCGTTCCACTGGTTGCCGGAAAATAAATGAAAATAAATGAAAACAATCTGCCCAAATCTAATACACATCAGGTTAATCATTCATGTGTTTGAAACCTTAGTCTGCCCCAGATAACCCTGGGATAACCCACAGCAGTCCTTTATCGTTTCTGTCGTGACATGGAGCTTAGAGACAGGTTCCACTCAGAGGCGCCATCAATAATTGAACAATCAACAACTTAGTTTATCATGCTCTGTGAAAGACACACGGAGCCACAATATTTATATACAGCAAATAAATGTCAAATGTTAACAAGTAACGCTTTTATTATTTATATAGAAATTAATGTTAATAGCTTGCGGTTGGATGTTTAGGATCTACTTGAAGGTGATAGGACGTAGAAATAATGGTTTTATCTGAAGTCTGCTCTTTTCGCATTTTTTAAAATATTTTGAGAATGAACAGAAATATGAGTCAGTTTCGGAGCTCGCGGCGATTGAGATGACTAGTTGCTAATGAGGCGTCAGCAATACTCCCCCTTTATCCGCGAACGCCGATAACATTCCAAATGGTCATTCTTGACACGTTGTTTGACATATTTATTTAACAATACCTGACCATGGTGAGGTGAAATAAGTTGAACTACGCGTTCTGTATAATTGCACCTATATTGTGACATGCATGAGTGTGTGCGTGCGTGCGTGCGTATATATGTGTGTGTGTGTGTGTGTGTGTGTGTGTGTGTGTGTGTGTGTGCGTACGTGCTTGTTCCAGCCCGGACTCATACCGGTTTTATTGTGCAAACCCACTAAGCTTCCATGCCGCAGTTTAACATGAATACGCCACTCAGACAACGAGCCGACCAGTCCTTGTTTTATCCCATTAATGCCGAACTGGATTGACTAGAGCAGCGTCACCTCGTTCTATTCGATGTGCGGGTATAAAGCGTGAGTAGTTGCGTCTACTCCATCGATATATGTCAAGAATACTGTTAAGGGCAGCTCAAAACCGAAGTACTCACTCTCTCACTCATCCGGCGAAGTCATAGATTGTGCCGCCTTTGAAGTGCTTGTTTTTCTTGAAATTCCTGAAAAAGGGTTGATAAACAGAAAAAAGTTCCTAAAACTGAAGATGCCCCTTATCTCACGGATTCCATTTGTGTTCTATCAGCTGTTAGATAACAGGGAGGTTCGACCGAGATTGTTTTACAAACACAATGGTTAAACATAGCCAGGGCCGGCTGGTATCATCATTAGAGAAGAAAATAATATTTCTAAAACACCCAACCTTGTTTAAATGACAGATAACTAAACGTCAATGTGTTTACAAAGCAATAAACAAATATATAATGAAAAACAATGACGTCACTTCCTGTTAGGGCAATCACAAGCGTATACATATAACCAACACATGACAGTGCCTACCTCAAAGCCTTATATTTTATATATACAATATGTATGTGTAAATCAATAAGGAAACATCCAGTTCTGATTGCACATGAAGATATTCATTTTTTTCGATACCCATGGAGAGGTCCGTTATTTGAGTAGAAAACAGCCATCTCTCTTAAAAGCCGTATTTACTCTTTGACAGACTATCACCGTCGGAATCTGGTCTGAGTTTATCCGCTGTTTGCTTACCTCTCCTCTCCAGTCGTATACATTCCTTAAATGAGACTGTACGGTGATTAAAAGATGCTATCATACCACTGATCCATGCATTAAATATGCTTTTCCCGACTGTGCCCGTAACTTATCGGAGATAACGTTCATGGACTGGTATTGTCAATTGGTTTTGAACTCAGCCATGCAATTCTTCAAAGCGTTCCCTCTCCTCTCATCTTTGAAGACTCAATTTCAGCAACTGTCGATATGCCGGCTTCGTAGATAAGTCTGGTCGTGGGGGAGGGGTGAAGGGAGGGTTGGGGAGGGGTGAAGGGAGGGTGAGGGAGGGGGTGTAAGGAAGGTGCGGTTGGGGAAAAAAGTTTTTGGTAACTATCGTCGGTGTGAATGTGGTCTGTGAGCGAGGAAGTCTAAACAGAACGGAAACAGCCTATGATAGTGGGTCGTATCATTTCAACACTTCCGACGATGCTTCAGGAATCGTGATGAAAAACATGCACGGTTGTTTATGGTTTATACTGTATGCATTGAATGACAACAGGAACTAGGCTGCAAAGAATTTTTCAAGACTTTTAATATCTAGATAGTGAATGATTGCGTGGCACGCAGTAAAGGACGAGGGAACCATAAACTCTCCTTCCTCCGTCAACGCTGCCGATTAAGGTGGGGTATTTAGGGAGCAATGCAACTGGGGCATTGTATTGTGTGTGTGTGTGCAGGCGCGTGTGTGCTTGTGTGTGTATGTGTGTGTGCTTGTGTGTGTATATTGTGTATGTGTCTGTGCTTGTGTGCGTGTGGGTGTGTGTGTGCTTGTATGTGTGTGTGTGTGTGCTTGTGTGTGTATAGTGTGTATGTGTCTGTGCTTGTGTGCGTGTGGGTGTGTGTGTGCTTGTATGTGTGTGTTTGTGTGCTTGTGTGTGTATAGTGTGTATGTGTCTGTGCTTGTGTGCGTGTGTGTGTGTGCTTGTATGTATGTGTGTGCTTGTATGTGTGTGTGTGCTTGTATGTGTGTGTGTGCTTGTATGTGTGTGTGCTTGTATGTGTGTGTACTTGTATGTGTGTGTGCTTGTATGTGTGTGCTTGTGTGTGTGCTTGTGTGGTGTGTTAAGTGTAGTGTACATTGTTTTTTGCTATTTCAAAGAAAAACACTGTGTCCAGAGGTGGCCAAGGTAGCTATTTAAGGGAAAAGGTACTGTCACCACCTCATATAGTTTTATTTAAGGTTAGGATAAGATAAACAATCCAATAAAACATTTAGGAGTGATGTCATGGTAAGAAATTAAACATGGCAATGGGTAGTGATAAAAGATAATAACCAATACGACAATTTTTGCGCGAATTTGCACCTATTCATTAGCGATCTGAATAAAAAGAAAAAAATTGTATTCCGTTTTAGTTTCGCGTTACCCCTTTTTATACACTGCTATATTCAGCAGCACTACTAAAAGCACAGGTAGATGGTAGATGGACTGATCCATACACCCCTGTATAGTAGTTAGAGTGGACTCAATCATGTGCTGTTAGGTGGGAGATTCTCTTGCATTATGTCTGTTTGTTTGTTTGTTGTTTAACGCCGCACTAAGTAATATTCCAGCTGTATGTCGGCGATCTGTAAATAATCAAGTCTGGAGCAGACAATACACTGATT